GCTGTATTATGGTTGTGGCACGAATAGGTCGGCTCGACCGGGGAAGGACGACGCTCTCACAGAATACCAGCGTAAAATACCAGCGTATTACTGCTGTGTTTCGTTTGGTGAGTGTAGAGATCCGTAGACCCTTTTCTACTGGAAACGAGGCATTTCATCTTTGTCCTGAGGGGTGACAAGGCATCTGCGTTTTGTTTCTTAATCGAAGATAAATTTAGATCTATGGTCCACAGCATCCACTTACCATCAGGTGGATTGTGTGCTCGTTTGTCACCATTATTCTATAAAAAAATTCGTAGTCACTCTTGAGAACTAAGTAAGATATATAGGCAAGTAAAATGGGATTTCTGTATAAACTACAAAATATCGATTCGGGTGAATCCAGATAAGATGTGGGACACCTTTTGATGGAGTTAATGTTTTTTTTTAATGCATTATTATTTAATTCTGTCAAGACCTTTTGTCCGACGGCAAAGAAATAATGGAAAACTGCATGAGTTAAATATTAAATATTTATTTATAGCCGATTTCAAGGAAGTAATAAGATTGAAATAATATCCACTTAATAGCTTGTTAAGTAGGTGCTTATAATAAGAAATAAGACATAAAGTTTAAAAATATCCAAACTTATATTGGACATCCCCTACCCCGAAGAACCCGTCTAAAAACTCCAGAAAAATGCGGATTACTCTTGGGTAATATTTTTCGATAGTATATCATATATATATATATATATATATATATATATATATATATATATATATATATATATTGAATAGAAAAGTTTCTGTTTCTGTCTATATCTTTTTCACGCTCTGTATCCCAAACGGCTTGATAGGTTTTAACGTATGAGGTGTCGTTAGCTTTATCTTGATGGTGAGAGTTAGATGAGCTACAAGTTTTTTCTCTTTTCAGTAAATATTTTTCAGCAGTCGAGTATAAATTACTGTTTTACTATAGGGCTTGTAAATAAAAAAAGTATCTCCATTTATCTTCGATATCGCGTAACACACATACAAAAATAAAGCATACAGTAAAAATGAGAAAGTCCTTCATTTTTAAGTCTTCCCACTAGGACTTTCTTCCTTATAGTGGAGACAGTTTATGTTCATAAATTGTGACAAACATCCAGACCAGGAACAACTATTTGTACATATATACATTTCGTGCGGAATTCAAACGCCTTAAAGAAATGCTAAGCCACTCCGAAACTGACCTGTCACAGCAGGCGCAGTTTCTTTGAAATCGACTAAAATATTTTGAGGACAAGTGAAGACCATCCAAAGCTGCTTATGATAGCACAACCTACTCTTTCTGGCTCCAAAAGCTCCCTCAGGAATTATAGGCCGATGAAAAGCAGTGGGACGTTGAAAGCCGTTACTATATATATATGTTTTACCTCTTTCATTCTATTTTTTACACTTTACTGTTTATAGTTTATACTAAGTTAAAGATAAAGTTTTTTAAAGATGAATAAGGGCAACAAACGAGCACACAGTCCACCTGATGGTAAGTGGATGCTGTGGCTCATAGACATCTACATTTTTCTTCGATTAATAATCAAAACGTAGCTGTGTTGTCATCACTGAGGACTACGATGGAATGCCTAGTTTTCAGTAAAAAAGGGTCCCCAATCTCTACAATCACCATACGAAACAGAACAGTTTTATTTTACGCTAGTATTCTGTGAGAGCGTGGTCCTTCCCCGATCGAGTCGACCCATTCGTGCTACAATCATAATATAGCTGCAGCGTAGCCTACTACGTATAAAAAGTTTATACATAATTATATAGTTGTTAAGAAAAAGGTTTCAAAATTTATATCTATATACTAGCGATTTAATTCGGTTTCGCCTGGATAGAATGTAAAAGGTTCAAGATTTCAGATAAAACATACGAGTACCTGACTTTACTCTGTATCTGTTCGAAAAGATTCATCACAGTTGGTTCAGCCATTACGAAAATTAGCCTGGACGGAAAGACAGAATTTTTGAAGTGAAAACTTCTTAACGCCGTTGGACACTTTTTCCGTAATGGGTTAAAATTGTTAAACTCGCGTCAGGACACGTGACCCTGATCGAAAATGCGTAAGACGGACGGCGTAGGAGGGGAAGTATCCCCCTCTCTTTCTACTGCGCGGCGGCCTGCTGTTTCGTTTAGGGGGCGCAGGGCGCTTGCGCGAATATAAAATAAATTGTCATGTTTGTGTACGATAGCGCAATAAATAAATAATGTATTCTATCACATAAATGATAGTAATTTTATACTGATAATTAAAGCAATTCGTGCAAAATTCTTCCATAACCAATCCAAAATATCAAAAATGCACAACGTTAATATTCAAGTTTTCACTTCTACCGGCACTCCCGGAGTGCAACCCGTGGTTTTTTTTTGTAACAAATAGTAGTAGTAGTAGTAATTATTATTATTAATAGAGTATTCTCATCTGGTTGGGCTGTATAAATATATAAAGGAAATGATAAATATACATAAATATATTTAATATACTATCATAAATAAATAAATAAATGCCCAACCAGATGGAGGCCCTCGGCAGGGGGAGACCAAATGGCCGTGGGTTAGGGGTAAAGGGAAAGAAACCGGCGGACGGTGCGGGAGGTATCGAGGATCACCCTCATCTGTATTCGAGCCTGGAGCGGTCCGTCACGGAGCCCCCGCCGCCTCAGATGACGAAAGATGACAGAGATTATTATTTTATGGGGTATCTGTCATCTGTTGATTCTATAATATATAATTATAAATTAAAATGAAAAGATAAATATATACATAAATATCAATTAAAATAAAATAAATACAAAAATACATAAATAAATAAAAGCCCAACCAGATGGAAGCCCTCGGCAGGGGAGACCAAATGGCCGAGGGTTAGGAGGAAAGGGAAAGGGGGGTATCTATATAGTTTTCTCATCTGGTTGGGATCTATAAATATATAATTATAAATGAAAATGAAAAGATAAATATATAAGTACATAAATATCAATAAAATAAAATAAATACAAAAATACATAAATAAATAAAAGCCCAACCAGATGGAGGCCCTCGACAGAGGAGATCAAACGGCCGAGGATTAGGGGTAAAGTGATAGAAATCGGCGGACGATGCGGGCGGTATCAAGGAGCACCGCCTTCTGCATTTGAGCACGGAGCGGTCCGTCACGGAGTCCCAGTCGCCTCAGATGACCCGAGAGGCTGACTGGGATTAGCCCATTCGCAGAGACGACTACAGGAATAATTTCGGTCGGCAGACCACCCCACATGTCGGTCACCTCGTGAGCCAGGTGCAGATATTTTGATTGCTTATCTGTTTCGGCTTTCACGAGGTTCTCGTCATACGGGATGGTAATGTCGACCAAAAATATCCTTGACTGTGCCCGGTCCACCAGCACAATATCAGGCTTATTCGCAAGAATAGTCCTGTCTGTGATGACGGCCCGGTCCCAATAGAGCCTGGCGCGATCATTTTCGAGCACGGCTTCCGGCAAGTACTTGTAATACGGCAATTTCCGATCCACGAGACCGTATTTCAGAGCGAGCTCCTGGTGTAGAATTCTGGCTACTAGGTTGTGCCTGTGCAAGTACTCAGAGTTAGAAAGCGCCGAACAACCGGAGATGACATGCCTAAGCGACTCACCGGGATAGCGACAAGCTCGACAGACGTCGACGGTGTCATCCTTTAGGATGTATCTCCGATAGTTGTTGGTCTTAACCTGATCCTGTATTGCACAGACAAACCCCTCGGTTTCCCCGAAGAGGTCACCTAAACGTAGCCAGTTGAGGGAGGCTACTGTGTCTACGAAAGGCTCATGTAGAGCCTTGTAGAACCTCCGTCTCCTTCTCCTTCCATACGGTCTCCCGGTCGGATATGCTCTGCACTGTCGGGTCTTGCCATTGCTCGTTGGCTACGGATAGAGGGGTAAGTCCTTTATCACAAGAAATGATGTCCTTATAGAATGGATCATCCGATCTCGCCAGGAAGTAATCACGGAGGCTGCACACTTCGCGATTATGCACGGTGAGCGAGCTCAAGAAGGCACGACCACCATGCTTCCGCGGCAAGTACAGCCTCATTACCGACGATCTCGGATGATGCATCCTATGGGACGTCATGGTAGTGCGGACTTTTCTATCCAGGGCGTTAAGTTCAGTCTGAGTCCACCTGAGTATGCCAAAGGTATACATGAGGACAGGTATGACCCAGCCGTTATATGCGTGTGCCTTATTCACACCGGACAAAAGGCTGTTAAGCACTTTGGTCAAGCGTGCATAAAACACGTCGCAAACTGACTGTTTCATACCAGTCTCATCGATACCGATGTTTTGTGACATACCCAGGTATCGGTATGTTTCAGCCTCGGAAAGGGTTCTTAAGTTGACGGGCATAGATAAGTCTATGCCCTCAGAGTTAGCAACCCTTCCCCTCTCAGCATGGAGGACCGCACACTTATCCGTCGCCAGCTCCATTCCAATGGAATTCTAAATCACAAGTGATGTTTATCAATTCCCGCTAAATTCACAAGTGATGTTTAGCAATTCCATAAGATGAGAGCGACTGGAGGCGAATAACTTGAGGTCATCCATATAGAAAAGGTGGGTCACTTTTGTCCCTCCTTTCCGTAGCTGAAATCCCCTCCCGGAGCCCTCCAGTAAGGTACTGAGAGGGTTCAGAGAGAGGCAGAACCAGATTGGACTCAGACAACCGCCCTGGAAGATACCCCTTCTTATCCTTATGTGGTTCTCCGCAGCTATCCTCCGCTCGCCCTGGTACCCTGTGTGTACCCTGGTGGTACCCTGGACTTTAGGAACCAAATGAGTGATCCCAGTAGTGAAGAGGCTTGGGAGCGACTTCTGGTTGAGATCCTCTTGAAACTGTCGGACGAGCACAGAGTGACACACCATGAACCCCTTCAGCCAGTAGTGATGCAGCCTGTCAAGCCCCGGACTTTTCTAGTTCGGGGCCCTACGGACCTCAGCCTCAGCTACGTTATCCGGTGTTATGATGACGGGGTCCATGGGCGTAATACCCGCACACTGACTCGCCACAACTTCCGTCCAAGGGCCCTCGCTGTGGTTTACGGGCTCTGACCACAGGCCGCGCCAGAATGCTAAGTGCGGCCTGATTCGGTGCTGGGCCCGTTCCACTTACTATTGGTCGCTCCAATGATGCATAGAGCCTCTTCTGATCACTCTGGAAGAGACGATTCTGGTTGAACCGTGTCGACCTCTCGGTATATCGCCGAATCCGCTTTCCCCACGACGCAGCAGTTTTTACGTTGTATCCGGCTGGGACAAACTGACATTTGTCCCAGCAAACGCCATCCTGGAAGAAAAAAAGATGCAAACCTTGGCATGCCTATAATACGGCAGGTTGCCAGCGCGGCGCCAAAAAGAATTGAGTCCGTCTCGCAAAGGTCCCGGCTGGCTTCCAAATAGGTCACCAGCATTGGGTTCAGAGCCTATCTCACGACAGCCCGATTCCGCTTGCTTAGGGCTATGCGGGGAAGTCGCGGTCGATTTTCGAGAGTCGTACTGCGCGTTTCCACAATCGCCTCTTCCAATGTACTCCTCATATGCTCTAATTCCAGTTCCTGGGCGACTGTTCCATCATCGTTTGAATCAACCACAACTGGGGTATTCACGGCGGCATCCACGTTTGCGGGTTGCTCTACCATTTTTATTTTCTTTTTATTATTATTGTGGGGTATCTATATAGTTTTCTCATCTGGTTGGATTCTATAAATATATAATTATAAATGAAAATGAAAAGATAAATATACATAAATATCAATAACATAAAATAAATATAAAAGTACATAAATAAGTAAAAGCCAAACCAGATGAAGTTCTTGGGTTGACGAATAATGACTGGTATGTAAACAGCGATACGAATACACACGGGCCGTCCTTTTACTCGTGCCAAAAAACCGACATCGAGTGGAGAACGGACGAATACTCGGGCCGAGTAGCGAGAATACCCGAACGAGTCTTTAAATGCTCGTACTCGTGCATACTCGTCTGCGCTCGGCGGCAATGTAAACGTTGCACTATAAAATATCTTTTAGTATGTAATTGTAGTGGTGCCTATATCTTTTAAACGGGAACACTGATGTGTATAGCCGTTTGGTGACAGAAATAAGAATATCTAGAAAAGGAGTTTTACCACCATTACAACACAACACAAATTGTTGATTTTCAAATAAGTTTGGATTTTGATTTTCCTCAGTTTCTCGCGCTACATCCAAGTCTATCTCTGATATAATGGAAGATTATTTATTAAGTTAAAATTGAAAGTTAAAGTTATAGCATATATTATACAGCACTTAAAATTAAAATTAATAATATCATTGGTGCCGGTGGGGATCAAACACGGGTTTTTCGCCTACTGTGAGATTTATAGAGAGTGCTAACGTGTATCTATCTAAACGTAATCTTAAAAGGCTTTTATATATCGTACGTAATCCCCCTACAAAGACGCTTTCAATGGTTTATCGTATATCGAATCGAGTAAAACATTAAACGCAATAATGTAGCTGTAGGTCGTACACATACGTATAAACTAGTGAAAATCGTAAACTTCCATTTGCTACGTTGTAGAAAAAGGCGATAAAATCCATAACTTTATTTTGACTTCAACGGCTTTTCTTTTTCTACAAAATATATTATTTTCAGTACTGTGAAGACCTTTTTACAAAAAAGGATTAACATTTTTCATATACGTAAATAAAAGTGTATTAGTATTATATCTATTATATTGCGTTCGTTAAGAAAATATGTTATGGCTGAATCTGAATGAGAGGGTGAGAAATTGTTCGATAAAAGAAGTGTGTGGTTTGCAAGATGATGTTGTGTCCACGATTAAAAAAGGAATGCTTCGGTGGTTTCGTCATGTGGAAAGAATGAAAGGGGAAAGAGTGACAAAGCAAATTTATGTTGCAGAAGTGAACAGCAAAGTCGGAAAGGGACGTCGTAGGCGAAATTTTATCGACCAAATTGGCGATATGTCGAAAGCGGGCCATATTAGGAGTACCCTTAACCGACGAGCATGTATGCGTAGGTATATGGACGTGGAAGAGGCGAGAGATGTGTGTCAGGATCGTGCCAAATGGAAGTCTGTAGTCTCTGCCTACCTACTACTACTCAGGGAACTGTCAGCTTGCCATTGAAGCATGAATAACCATTCGTTAAAAAATTATCCGTCTGTCTATCCTTATCTCTGAGCTAATCTTTGAAATGGCTCAACCTACTGTGACGATATTTCACGAACAGATAACGAATAATTCCTGAAGTTATCTAGACCATATTTTATCAGAAAAACTTAAATTATTATTTTCTGAAATAAAAAATTGGTAAGGGAAATGGTCATCCATAATTATTTCAAAAAATGTATATAAATAGTTCCATACATAGGTGAAGTAGGGTGGGTTGCTAATTATTAATATTTCCGTTAACTTCTTCTGAGCCAAAATGCTGGTGCTAAGTTGAACATAAACAAATAGTGAATTCAAACATTAACATTTTAGCTTTGGAATCTGTACGCTTAACTAGCCTCTTGTCGTATCTTTAGCCTGTTGTATCTTTTAATCCAAAATGCCGATTAGTAAATGTTGTTTGTAAATCTTATTAGTTATCTATTTAGTTATTAGTTCATTAATTTATTTATAAAATAAGGGTGACAAACGTGCACACAGTCCACTAGACGGTAAGTAGATGATGTGGCCCATAGACATCTATATTTATCCTCGATTAAGAATCATTAAAATTAAGAAGATCTGAATCTCAGGGGCTAGTAATAAAAAAACACTCGCTGTAAATTTTAAAGTACGCGGGCAGTCGGGGTTCGATCTTCGCCGTAACAATGAAGTTGTTAATTGCAATTTCAAGTGCTAATTTACTATAATATTCTCGATAGTAACGAAAACATCGTAAGACATCCTGCATGTCTAAAAAATGAAAAAAATATATATTTCGAAGACATGTTAAGTCTGCTAACACACATTGGATCAGCGCGGTGAACACTTCCTTGGCCTAAAAAACCTTTTTTTTTACAAATGGATGCTGTGGATGCTGTTCCCATAGACATCCACACTGAACCTCGATTAAGAATCAAAATGCTGATGCGTTGTCATCCCTGAGGACTAAGATGGAATGCCTCGTTTCCAGTAAAAAAGGGTCTCCGGATCTCTACACTCACCATACGAAACACAGCAGTATTAAGCTGCTATTTTACGCTAGTATTCAGTTAGAGCGTGGTCCTTCCCCGGTCGAGCCCACCCATTCACATAATGATTGTAGCACGTTGGAGATGGAGTGATGAAGTGACGACCTGGTAAGAGATGCATAAAGTCAATAGATGTAGGTAGCTCCGTACTGTTCTTTGAGTAATTTCTTGAGGGAGGCCTATGTTTAGTGGTAGACTCGTTATGCGTTGTGAAGATCATGATTATGATGATAAAATAATAGAAGAATTGTTTAATGAATTATTAATATAGAACTAACAAGTATGTGTTAATTAATTTCCGTATAGAGTGAATTTAAAAAATTACATACGAAAAGTAGTATTATAATATGTAGTCACAACTTTTTTCACGAATCAAATTCTATGAATACTGTCTTTAGAACTAATGGTAAAAAAAACAATTTATTTGTAAATGCCTTAGTACAAAAATAGTTTATATTTATGAGCTATGTTACGCGGAAATATACGACCTAAAATTAGAAATGTAAGGAATTTAAAGCAAATGGCGAATTTCGCGACGACTGTGGCGACGCTGCTAAGGGAGTTCTATAATTAGACGGACTATTCTTAAATCTTAGTTTAAGCCCAAAAAAACCAATAAACCATAAAAATATGTTTCATAATAAGACGGTTAGTGTTGTCACACTGTTGATATTACATACTTCTTCTTTTTTCTAAACATTTATTATGATCGTTTTATTCATTATTAATTAACTGAAAAGTGAAAACGGATAGAAAAAACTACGTAAACAAAGCAAAGAACAGTTATGTACACAATAATACTTTATAACAAGGCGATCTATCATTACAAACACAAATGTAAGAACAAACACAAAAAAAAAACAAAGCACATGGGGTATTCGTATAAAAATGAAGAAACGATTTTTCTCATATTTATTCGAATACTACAGGTGAAATATAATTTGAATTAAAAATTAAAAAAATAAACCGAAACAAACAGGGCTAATGATCTTCAAACGGTTGAATATATTTTCTTAAAACATAGCAAAAAAAAAACACTCTCGATTAAAACAAATTTCAAACGTAATAAACTTAATCAAAATCATTTAGTTTCATTCGTTCAATAACTATAATCCCAAAGTCAGACACACACTACAAACTCGATGAAAACAGACGGGTGTTTTACATATTATTAAATCCTTGTTCCGCGTGCAGAAATTCTGACATATAACCCTTCTATTTTCATCGAGGGTTAAAACGATTATGACCGATTTTATCGCGTTTTATTTTAACTTACTTATGAACTCCCGACGCTTATGAACACTGTAAAGTACCTACGTCACAGATAAACACAGAGGTGTATGATGTTGATGTTGTAGTTAACATTTTTCTTCAGATTTTAAACATTAATTTTTTGTCATACCTATACTTGAAATACTTCTATTTTGACATCGCTGAAATGACTTTAATTGCTAATGCTCTTTTAAAGCTACTTAACTGGGAACTTAAGAGCTTCTAACGACGAACTTTTAGCTGTTGAAATGCCACGGTCTTTAAGTTTGGCGAAGTATGCAAAATCCTTACAACTCTTCGTGTACTTCCTCTGTTGAAGCGTTTGCAAACAACTTTCCTTATGCCTTATCGAATTTAAACATTACTTTCTAAAGACTTATTTTTTACTTAGACTTACTTTATGGTCTCAATGTGGCGGCAAAGCCTTTTCCTCAACCGGTTACTTTAAAGATGTTAAAATTAGTTAGCTTAAATCCGCGTAATAAAATAAAATTATGTGTCTTACATAGTTTAGACGCACCTCCCTTCCTAAATCAAGAGTTGTTGTCAGCCACAGCAGTGGTGGTATATCTTTCCTAGTTTGGTGGTGTTGGGAGTAGTGGTTCTGGAATTAGTGGTGGAGAGGATAGTACACGCAATCAGGGCAACACCGCGAAAAAATGCACCTCCTTTCATCAAATAGTATAGGACTATAATACCACTAACGAATTAGATATAGGTAAGTTCATGTCTTTATCTTGAATTTACTTGTTCAAAAGCACGATTGTATAATTTTGACTTGACCATAATTGTTTGTGAAAACACCTCTAAAATCACTATAATTGAAATTACAACGTAATTACTTAACCCACATGCTTGGGAATCACTCAAATATATTCATAACATCAATATTTGTAATTTACTTGCTCATTATTTTGATTACTTAAATCAATAATTTTTAAAAATATTTTATGATTCTGAAAATTTCTAAGCGATATTGATTGTCGCGGGCGCTACGCTTCAAACGTTCATTTTCGATGTGTCGTCTTATGGGAGGGCAGGAGGTTCCCTTTAAATTAATTAAGACACAACATGATTTAATTTTATCACGCAGATCAAATTTAAATGATTTTCAACATCTTCAATATAATGAACTTCCACAAAGTGACGCCTTATTCTATCAATTATCAACCGATTACGATG